TTAAGTCCAGATAAACCAAATTCTGATTGGCAGAAACTAACTTTAAGTACCAATGACTGTTTACAAATCCTCTAAAAGTTAATCACAATTTCCATCTGACATAAACCAAAAGATAAACGAGCAATCGGACAACTAATTATTCTCTAATTTCTATGGAAATTCTCCACTCATGCACATGGCTAAAACAGCTTTACATCACTCATGAGACGAAAAGCGATTAAGAAAAATCTGTAAAAAAATGTGGAAAACGTTTTCAAGACGTTTCAACTTCCACTTAAACGTAACGCCTTAATCCTCTTAGTTGGTAATACTTAGATTAAAAATAACTTTTACATAGCTAGTCATGATAATTTCAAGACATCATATGAAAAAAAACCAGTAGTTTCAGCAGGATATCAAATATCAAGCTCTTAAGAGCAGTTCAGACAAACAAAAAGTCAACTTTTGAATCAGTTCTCTTGTTGAACTTGACTTTGGCCGTCATTTGGTTCTTCCTGCTTTGAAAAGAAGACTCTTGACAAATATTTCATCGGTAGCTTACTGGTTTATGGTCCAAATATCTGCGTTTGCAGGTATCCTAAAACTCCCTGGGATTCCAATGCTCACTGCCTTAACTGAAAAATAAAAGAATCTAAGTTTAGGGAGGATAGTTGAGTTGCCATGAAATATTTCTTAGTACTCCAAATGATACATTGCACAACAGGATTGTTTTAAAAAAATTTGCTTTTTTACTCCTATCAGGTTTCCAGAAAAGAATGTTACCATTGTAAACGTGTCCTCTTGATTCTACTGCATCTCAATTTGCCAGAGCAAAAGATTAATTCGTAACCCAACTGAAACATATAAGCAATAATTATGATTTAATGTAACTTTGTATTGAATAGAATGTGTAAACAGAATATTTACTTCCTTCAGCTTCGAAATATCCTTGAAATCCAGGTTGACGTCGTCACCAATGAGTACAAATGGTGCCCAGTAAATCACCTCCTTGAACTTTTCAATTTCTCTCATACACTTCATGGCCTGATTGAGAGCTTCACTTGCCTTCTTGCCTTTGGCAAGTGCATCGTAGAAGAAACTCATGAACTCCAGGGTTCCCTCGTCGCCAATCGCCCACAAGGTTACCACAACAGATCTGGCACCGGCACCCAAAAGTGCACGCGCCATGCCGACCACACCCTCGGCCATGACCTTTCCACGAGCAGTGTGACAGCAGCTAAGTACAACCAGACGTGCTCGCAACCCAGCTTCTATGACATCTTTCATCGTCAGTAGATAATCTTTCTCTTGCGGCTGAGGGTTATCTCTTGTGGTGTTTGGTGCCAGGATAACTTCTCCTGTTTCCTTTTTACCGTGCGCTGCAATATGAACTAACGCCACTGATGATATTCGTTTTAACACTTCATGTTTTGTTGCCATTTCTCCAGTAAGGGGGGAAACATTGAGGATACGTTCGATCATCTTCACTTCTTTCCTTGCTCCTGGAAGTTGCTCCAAGAGTTCTCCCTCAGAGATGATGTGTTTGAAACATGGGTCGCCGACAAGTAATGCACCAGTCTTCATGTGAAAGTCAGCTGGACAGTCATGAATTAGTTGCAACGTCGTCAGAGAGGGAAGCACACGAATTCTGAAAGAATCACTTAGATATGATGAGTTGGAGTCCTGCAACGCTGCAAAAGGCACAAGGCAAAATGGAGGAACGAATGTTATCTCGTTGCCTTCGATCAGGTCAGCAATAGGAGCGACAATGATGTCATGCAGCTTCTTTAAAGCACTTGATTGGGAGTGCCTCACATCAACTCGGATCACATCATCGGCCATTTTCTTTACTGTCGGCGAATCAGGAGGAAGATTTTCGATTTTAACAGTATCTCTTTCACGGATCTCCTTCAGAACAGTTTTGTTCAGCTGCTGGATGAAACATTCCAATTCATTCTCAAACTTATAATCATTGACGTGTACCTGTCTCATCTGGATGTTAGCTTCACTAAGGCGAACCCAGAAGTAAATGCAAGGTCCATTAATAGCTATGAAAACTGTGTTCAATGGAACCCAACTCAGAGAATCAAATGATGCGCTGTGCGTTGAAGAATCTTTAGGCTGATATCTTGTGTCCATCAGATCTCTCAGAGCTTGAGCACGTCCTTTCTCTGCGGCAAGAAGAGCCTTTACAACTTGACCTTGTTTGAGATTTATACGCCACAAACCTTTGTATGCACTTTGGTGCTGATTACGATAAGAAATCTTCCACCGATCGTTGAGTTGAAGACTTGCCCTGATATCATCATACAACTCTACACTCGAGTGATAATAGTCAAAGGCCATCACAAGATTTCCTAGGCACTCAAAACTTCTTATGATTCTCGCCGAGATGGCAATAACTGGTTCCCTCTCCGGCCTTGTCTCCCACTTCTTTAGCAATTTCTAGATGACGTTGATAGTACTCCACTGCTGTTTTGAACTGTCCTAGTCTGTCATAAGCGTTGCCGAGACCGCAATAACAATTTCCCTCTCCGGCCTTGTCTCCCACTTCTTTAGCAATTTTTAGACCACGTTGATGGTACTCGATTGCTGTTTTGAACTTTCGTAAACCTTGATAGGCGTTGCCAAGATTGCCATAACTTCCGCCCTCTCCGGCCTTG